GAGCGGGAGGCGGGGGCTGCGGCCCGGGGTCCCCCAGCCGGCTTTCCCCGGCGGGGTGCGGGACAGGCGCGGGCGCCTCCCCCAGCCGGCCTCTCTGTCGCTGCCTTTCCATTCTCGGGCCGGAGGAGCCGGGAGGGCGGGGATCCAGGCCGTCCCCTCGGGAGCGCCCCGGGACGCCTGGGTCGCAGGCGTCTTTGTTGCCCCCCGGACCCCCCGGGACGGTTGGCCAGGTTGGATCTGTGCTGCCGCCGGACTCCCCGCTTGGGCTTCCAGGCCTAGTGCAGAGGGTCTCTGCCGCTCTCCGGGAGCCCAAGTCCAGCCTGCTGGGCCGTCTTCTGGGCGGGAAGGTGGATGTCGTCCCCCAGAAACTCCCTCGGAGAGCTGCCCTATTGTGCTCCTGGGTCCCCACCAGGGCAGCCAGGCTGGGGCGGGGCCTGCGCTGTCCCCGGAGACACCCCTCCCCCAGGACAGCTTGGCTGGGTGGGACACTCCCTCCCCGCATGGCTGGGCCGCCCCCTTTCTGAGAAGTTGTGCACCTCCTAACGCCCAGCAACGACTTTTCTCCTCCTGTCGAGGGGACTTCTCCTCTGCCTGACACTCCCTCTCGCTGGCGCAGCGGGCCGACCGGGGCAGCCCTAAACTAATCGCTGCACACTTGGGCCCAGCATCCTGGGCGTCTGGGTCTTGCTTCCTGAGGGCGCAAGGGATCCGGGCTACTCCAGGTGACCAGGGCTCAGGTGCACACTCGGGCCCACTTCACAGATGGACAGATCGAGGTGGGAGGCCACACACTGCCTCCTGCTGCAGGGAACACATCTGCTCAGAGAGCTGTGGCCTCCAGCCATTGTTTCTCTGCTGAGTCAAGGGCTTTTCCCTCTGATAGGCAAGGGCAGTGGGCCAGAGCCCTGCCCAATTCCAGCTTCTGGAACTGGTCTTCACCTGGGGGACGCTTTCCTTTTGCTGAAGCAGACAGTCAGGGTTTCCTGGCAGGGCAAGTGGCCTCTTAATTAACTACCACAGAGTGTGTGAGGCAGTTACTGGAAGAGAGGTGCTGTGTAAGTGCAAAGCATTGTTATTACAGAATTAAAGATCCCAGCTCCTGCCCGCCTGCAGAAGCGGTAATGCAGAGTTACAGATGAAAAAATTAGGGCTTCCAGGCCGTGCTGATGTGAATCCTCCTCCCATCTGTTCTGGTTCAGAGCATAATTGCCTCATCTCTAGAAAGAAAAGGCAGAACATGCCTGCCACACTGCTCTTCTGCTGTGCTTCCTCCAAAGCTCTGGATCACCTCCGGGGGGAGGCGTAGCTCACTGGCCAGCCCTGCTCCTGTGGACCCTCTGAACCCGTGGGAGGCCTGGGCTCTCCAGGGCAGCAGTGCATAGGGAATGCCGTTCTGGCCGTGTCAGAGCCTGGATGGCGCCTTTGGGGAGGCCCACCTTTGATTGAGTTTGATTGTCCGCAAGTGACACAGAGCACTGGAGGTGGAGTCTGGAATGGCACACAGACTGCTTGCCTGGGCAACTTTCCTTGGCTCTGCACCTCAGTGGCCCCAGAAGTAACTCGAAAAGGGGGCAGAGTGGGTGGGACCTGGACAGATAAGCACCATGTGGAGACCCGCATTCAAGGACTGCTGGTCAGTTCCCACCATGGCCTGCCCACGGTCACTCCCCACCTCTCTTTTGTAGCTGCTGCCTTTAGGATTGTGCAGGAAGTGGCTGGAGTGTCAGATCACCTGGCTCTCTCTTGGGACCTTGGGTATTGTGCGAGGTGGAGGGACTAGGAGAAGCTCATTTTTGGAGCAGAAAATATGTGCTGGGGAGGCCCCAGAGAGCCTTTTAGACGGAGCTGCCTGTTTAGAACTGAGTGGTGTCTGTGTATGTGGGCCTCAGGGACACGTTCAGCTTTTAAGCACACCCATTCATTTGGGTAGCCTTTTCCTGGATGTGGCTGACGCAGGCACTTTGGCCCACAGAAATTACAAGATGCTTCCAAATGGGATGGGAGATGACATGGGATGGGAAGTGATGGCAGGGCAGGGAAGCAGTTGGGTTGAGCAGGTTGAGTGGGATGTGCTAGGGGTCTCGCGCTGCCATGGACTCCCATGGAGTCCGGGATGTGGAAAGGGCAGCACCATGGCGTCCCTGGCTCCCTGCTCGCTGTTCCTGCCTGCCGTGTGAGTGAAAGCAGTGTTTCCGGTTGTGCTCTGACAGCTGCCGTCCTCTTGGGCCCGGCTGTCCAGTGCCCTGTGCTCTCTCTCTCTCCCACCTGGCTTCACCCTTGAAAATGGCTGTGTCGTGTGCCGGGGACCCCTCTCCAGCACTGCATTGGATCTATGCTCAGGAGTGGCAAGGTGCTTGCAGAGAAGCCCTCTGCTGTCTGTTCCTGCCTCCGATTTCCTGTCTGTGAAGTGGGTTTTGCTCCTCCAGCCCCTAGGTACTCTACCATTAAGGAGTAGACCTTTCGAGGAGGGCAGGTGATGCCCTGCATGGAGCATATCCCCTGTGCTGGGCATGAGCTGGGCCTTCCCGGCTCAAGCAGGGCCTGTGTCTTGCCAGGGTCCTGTGGCCAGTGAGAGGTAGAGCCGGGGTGGGAACCAAGTCTGGCAACATCCAAGCCGTAAAGTGACCATCATCCTGCATGGCCTCTCTAGTTGTGGGGGCTGCTGCTGGTTGAGCTCTCAGCAGAGGCCAAGCCAGCCTGTGGCTTTCCAACATGAGTTTTTGTAACCTCTTTTGTTCTCCCCCGGAGAAAGGCAGCTTGGGGTCCAAAAGCCAGGCAGCTTGCCCAGGGCTGGGCAGCACGGTCGCTCCCACCATGCCTACCCCCAGCAGTGGCTGGCAGAGATCAGCAGACGGGGCTTGGCTCCCGCTGGAACCTCCCTCCACCACAAACCTGTGCCTGGCTCTGCTGTGAGTGGCAGAGCTGGCTAAGGGGCCATGAGGATCTGCCCTGGGGCTCGTGGCTGGCCTGGACAACCAGGCAGTGGCCAGCTGGGGCCTTGCTTTGCTCTCTCTGCCTCATTGTTCCTGCTTGCCCCGGCCACCTCCCTCATCCCCCAGCATCAACCCAAATAGGGTATTATACCAACAGTGTTGCAGGGTCTCAGTACTTAAAAATACACACCACACATCAGGTGTCCTGGTGCACTGGGGAGGCTGAGGCAGGAAGATCGTGAGTTCAGTGCCAGTCTGTGAGTTCAAGGTTAGCCTGGACGATATTATGAGATCCTAGGTGGCTGTATCCCTGTGCAAAGCCTGATATCTCAGCCACTGACTGTCCTTGGAGCCTTGCTGGGGACTGAAGGGGGTCCCAAAGAGGCTGCTTCAGAGTTGAGGGAGCACCGTCATAGGTTGAGAGCCAGGGCTCCATGCCAGCTCTGTGCCTTGTGAGTTATGGACCTTGATGCCTCTTGGTTTTATCTGAGTGATAGGGCTGTTAGCAGCACTGAGCCCGCAGGGTTGGGGAGACCTTGGCAAGGGGTACAGGCAGCTCCTAGTAGGAGGCTGCTCTGGTGGCTGCAGCTGTGAGATTGTTGCCTTCTTCTTCCGCAGCTGGTTGGTGTAGTGGCCAGGGACCCTCTCCTGACTCCTGCACAGCAGGCTGTGGAGGGTTCCCAGCCCATCAGCCCCGTACCCCATGGTTCTCTGTGGCTTGACCGGTCTGCCTCTGTTGGCCCTTTCTTTGCGGTCTGTGGATCTCTCCAAAGCCTCAGAGGTGAGATGACCCTGGCCTCTTCCTTGCCCTGGCGTAGACATGAGACCCCTTCCTCTGAAGCCTTGGGGGAGGGGTTGCTGTCCTTACCCCAGCAGCAGAGTGGCCTGTAATGGGGCCACCAGCTGGCACCCACCCAGGCCCAGTGGATGCCCTACCTCTCATGGTCCCAGGACTGGGGTGGCCCTGCAGGAAGTAGAACCTGCTCGGTGGTGCAGGCCTGCCCTCAGGCGGGGTCTGCTGCAGCCTAGTCCTGCAGGGAACAGGCAGGGCCCCCATCTGCCTGCATGGGTCATGATACCCATTACGGAATGACCTGAGTGCACGGACATGGGTGGCCCCTGCAGACCTGCACTCTCTACCCAGGGCACCAGGTTGTGCCCCCTCCTGCCCCCGCCTCCAGGCTCATCTTCACCCCAGCCCTTGGCCTGGCCTGTGCACAGCTGCTTGCTTTCACTGCGTGCTGTTCCTTTGTCTTAGTTGCTGTTTGGTGGGTATTGTCTCCTCTCCTCTAGAGAAAGCGCCGGGACAGGCTGAACTTGTAAGGGCGCTGAAGGTGCCCACGGTGGCCGGAGAGGTGGTCACAAGTTGAGGCTCTAAAGTTAATCTCTGTTTGTAGGCAGGATTAGAGGCTAAGGGGGCTTTTCAGTAATTTTAACTTAGTATTTAAACCCTGCCAAATTCCAGTAAGGATTTGAAGCAGATTATATGAGAAGATACAAAGAGTCTGAGATCATTAAAATATCCAGAACTATGTCACATATGAGGAAGGAAGAAAAATTACTCCAGACAGCCTAGGCTAAGTAAGCATAGAAATTTAACTTTAAGCTCCCTGACAGCTGGGGAAAAGAAGGGTAACATGGTGGGTTTAGGATTGTAATACCTGGGGCTCCCCCTCAGTCAAACCCAGGCCCTTCCCGGTGCTAAGCAAGGGCTCCTCTATGGAGCCACATTCACAGCCCGGCAACACCTGTGTTGTTTGTTTGCCATACTGGAGATGGAACAGGGCCTCATCCATGCTAGGTAAGCGCTTTGCCCCCGGGATACATCCCCAGCCCAATATCTCCTTTTTGTATTCCGGAACAGTATGTGCCGCCCTGAATTTTTTTTTGGTGCTTTGTTTTATTTTGCTTTTACTGGTTGAGACTCGTTTAGTGGAGTAGTTTTTTTACCTGTCATGAAATTACAGATGTTCAGTGTACAGTTGGACGAGTTTTGTCTAACACAAGCTTCCATGCAGCCGTCAGTCAATTCAAGACAAATGTCTGTCACCTCGGAAAGTTCTTAACAGCTCCTTTTCAACCAGGCGCCCCCTTGCATAAGGCAGCCACCATGTTCGCGTGTCTCACCACCCACCCCCCATAATGAGGATTGAACCCAGGGTAGAGGGTGCTGTACTGCTGAGCTACACACCACAGCCGTTTAGCTTTTGAAACAGGGTCTTGTTGAATTGACCAGGGTAGTCTTGAGTTTTTGATCTTCCTGGCTCAGCCTCCCGAATACCTGGGATTACAGGTGTAGTTCTGATTTTTATTCCTGGCTTAGACCTCCCTGTTCTTGAGCTGTATACATGTGGAAGCACGTGGCAGGTACTCTTCATTCAGCACAATGAGTTTGAGATTTCCGCGCGTTGGGGGTGAGATGAGTAGTTCATTCTGTCATTGTTGCTGAGTGGAGTCTGCTTCTGAATACACCACTGTGCATGTATCCATTCTCTTGCAGATAGCTTAGCTGTCTCCAGCTTTCATATGCTGTGGATTTTTTGTTTTTGTTCCTGTTTTTTGGGAGGATAGGGTCTCATAATATTATCCAGGCTAACACTGAACTCATAGGCTGGCACTACATTCATGATCCTCCTGCCTCAGCCTCCCAAATGCTGGGATGTGTATTTTTAAGTACTGAGACACTGGCACATTGTTGGTCTAATACCCTATTTGGAGTTTTTTTGGGGGGTGGGGTACTGGGAATTAAACCCAGGTCCTTCACACTGAGCCATATTCCCAGCTCTTTTTAATTTTTTTTTTCATTGCAACAGAGCTTTGCTAAATCAGTAAGTTGCCCAGGCTAGGCTTGAGCTTGTGATCTTCCTGCCTCAGCCTTGTGGGGTACTGGGATTATAGTCGTGTGCCACTGTGCCTGGCAAATTTTGGTATTTTATAAAACCCGATACCTGATCATGTAGCCTTGGGACATGCCCAGAGAGCTATCAGTGCCTCTAAATCCTGGAGCTACCAAAGTTACATGCTTGCTCAGAAAATGGTGTGACCACCTCCTCTCCAGGTGTCTGGGAGCTTGAATTCCTCTTCCCCTGTTACCTGGTAGGCTAACCTTAGGCATTTGGGTCATATCTCCAGGTTCCTTCCAGGGTTCCTGCCTACCCAGGTCCTAGCTGCAAGGGCTTCAAGGAAAGCAGGAAGTCAGAGAGGATGGAGCCTGTCCCAGAAGCTGTGTCTCTTCTTCCTTCCCTAGCAAAGACTGGCTTTCCACAAGACACCCCTCCAGGCACACAGCTTCCTGCTTCTACTCAGAATCCCAAACCCAGACGCAGACACCTCACCCCTCAAGAGGGCACTCAGAAAGCAGAGGCAAGATTGCCAGGAGTTTGAGGCCAGCCTAGATTATATAGGGAGACCCTGTTTTTTTATTTTTTATTTTATTTTTTTGACCCTGTTTTTTTAAACAGACAAACAACTGGGGAGAGCTGAGTGTGGGGGTTTATGCCTATAATCCCAGCATTTGGGAAGCTGAGGCAGGAGGATTGCCATGAGTGCAAGGCCAGCCTGGGAATACATGGTGAGACCCTGTTTTAACAGACACGCTCACACACACACAAGAACACCCATGCATACACACAAACTGGGAAGGGACTGTCGGTTTTTTCCTAGTCTCATTCAATTGCTTGGTTGTTACCACTTCGGGGAGGCCAGGTGGGTGTGTTTGGATTGCGGGGGGGACTATGGAGAGCCCCTCCTGGACATCAAGCCCCCAGGCCTCCCTGCTAAGAGCCTGGACAAGAGGGCTGCTTGCCTGTGCCATTTTACCAGTCTTCACTGTTATTTTTTTTCTTCATAATGAGCCTTAGCAAAAGATTCACACATCTGTTCAAATGCCACCTCTTTAGAGAGGTTCCCCAAACACCTTGTATTAAAATAGGGGTGTGCTGTCACTCTGCTGTCTCCATTGTTCTGCCTCAGAGTCCTGGTTACCACAAATAGGGGTGTTTATCTGTTCTGCCCCCCACCCCACGCACCCAGTCTGGAGTGTAAGCCTTCTGAGGACAAGGCTGGTTGCGTGGCAGTATCCTGGCACACCACCTGGCATGCAGTGGCTGCTGTCTGCAAGTGTGAGTGACAGGGATGGCTTAGTGGGCCACACTTAGGCATGCAGTGTGTGCCCTGTGTCCAGCGGGGGACTGGATATGGGATGTATGATGTGCAGGTGTGGGAGTGCTGCTGGCAGCATGACACTGGGTACCGCGTGCACTGTACAGCTTGCGTGTGCCATCAGTCCTAAGGCCTGGGGATGGGCACAGCTGCTAGAGGAGGTTACATTGAACCCATGTACAAACTGGGGCCCTGAGAGTTGCAGTGACTGGCTAAGGGTGACATGGCTGGTGGGGAAGATCAGCGTCTGCTCCTGTCCTCACAGGCTTAACCTGGGCCAAGGCCTGGGCCTGGATCTCCTGGGGCCAGCAGCGCTCTTCTCCTTGGCTGGAGCGGGCCCTGGTGGAAATACGGGATCCTCTCCAGGAGGAAGCGGAAACACTGCTTCCCTAGGGGCTGCCATGGCTGTCTTCTCTGTGTTTACTCCTTCCTGTGCTTGTGCCCAGAGCCTCCGGGTGCGCTTCTGTGACCTTGCTGGCCCCCTGGCCTGCTGACCCCACAGTGTGGCTGGCAACACTGTTCTGCCCCTCTGTGGGCATCTGTGGGTGTGAGTACCAGTTTTGGTTGGAAGCAGCCAGGGGTGGGCAGCAGATGGCATGTGAAATCACTCCCCTCCGCCTGATCTGCTGGGACCGGTTGCCATGGGAGAGGCGAGAGCAGATGGCCAGGCTGGGGAGGCCTCTTGACCACACCCTCCCACTGTCTACCCAGCCTGTCAGAGGAGTGGGGCGGTCACCAGCCACTGAGTTTTCTGTCTGAGGACAGGGGCCTGCTCTCATGTCCCTCTCCCCTGACCTGTCCCTTCTGCCAGCAACTCCTGATACCCCAAATGTTGAGCTGTGACCTCTGCTGGGGGGCGGTGAGGGTGCAGGAGCTGACCCCAGAGTCCTCCTCAGTCCACACTTACAGGCTAGCACCCAGGGAGGGCCCTGTCTGAGCGGAGAGGGCAGGAGGTAGGAGAAGCGGGTGCAGGAGAGAAGAGGACACAGGCCACCCACCACAGCCATGGCCCTTGCTGGCCCTCTGGAGCCCTGCTCTGCTCCCAGGCAGCAGCTCCCTGCAGTGCCTCTGCCGCCTTTTACCTTTCCCATTAGGGCAGCGTTTCATACCTGTAGAGACAGGTATGCTGCCCCTGGCCTCCTGCTCCAGGAAAGCCGCTGAAGGAGCAGGGGAGCTGCCTCGATGGGGTGGTGCACACTGGATTTGCTGGGTCCAGGTCAGTAGATACCTGGCAGCCCCACCTTGGGCCGTGTCCCTTCACCTGCTCCCTCTGCCTGGTGCCCTCACCTTTGGTCTTCCCCTGCTTTCAGCTCTCTGGGACTGGCCTGAGAGATGCTGAAGGGTGCTTGGCCCAGGACACGTGCCCAACTTGCTGTCAGAGTCACCACGGTAATGACAAAGGACCTGCCCGTCCATCAGTACAGCCTCAGAGAGCAGGGTCACGGGACAGCTCTTTGTGGCTGACAGCTCCCATACCTGCGCTAAGTGGGCACACTGCTCTGTCTCGAGCACCTGTGCTTTCGTGGGGACAATCTTAGGTCACTCAGTGGGGATCATGGGTGTGAGCTGGCCAGCACACTGCCCTCTGAGCCTCTGAGTTCCGTCCTGGTCCTCAGGGCA